TAGATGATTCGTATACTTTTATCCTATCAACACCTAATATATTTTGTGCTTTAATACTTAAAGAAATGTTCTGTGCCCTGTTTCATATTGTCTCACAGCTACCCTGTAACATTCACTCTCATATTTTAAACTTTTCAGTGGCCATTTTTACTGGCCCTCTTTTCATTTCCTCAAACCAGCTATGCTTCCTGCCACCACAGAGCCTTTGAACATGGTGGTACCTTTTCCTCGAATATACTTCCTCTTAACTCCTTCCTCCTTTCAGTGAATTAATGAATACTCATCTGTCAAATCCAAGTTGAAGCATCACCTGCTACGAAGGAGGTCAGGTACTTTTGTTATATTCTCTGAAGGGACCATATTAGTTGTCTTCAAATCCTCATTCATTTATTGTATGATTATTTAATATTTAACTCTCCCACTATACCATAAACACCATGAGAATGAGTGAATAGTTCTTAAATTATACATATGGAAATTAGGCTTAGAAATCTTAAATAGCTTGACCAAGGTCCTACCACAACTGAGTAGCAGAGGCAGAACTTGAACCTAGGTCTTTTATTTCCTAGTTTCATGATTTTTCTATTAAACACAGCTGCTCTACACTTCTAAGTCAGCCCTAATTTTAAATATATCTTCCATCTTCAAGTCGTTTTTTGCTTTGTTCCTTGCAGGTGACCAGGATAACTGTGATCCACACCTTGAGTGTGGTTGCAGCTTTAAAGCAAATTATGCAAAGTAAGTGATAGGTGTATGAGGGCTCTTCACAAGTTCATAGAAAATGTGTGTTATGAAAAAACTATGCATAGATTTAAAAATTTTGCATCAAAGTAAATTTGTACTAACTTATTATAACATGTCTGAACAGAATCTAGTTTGAGACACTAAGAAGGATAAGACATCAGTCTGAAAAGAGCCCTATCAGAGCAACATGAACATCAAATTTATAATGAAGCTTGGGTGAAATCATTGATGCTTTACCAAAAGGTTATGGGGACAGTGCCCCAAAGAAATCAGCAGTTCACAAATGGATGACTTGTTTTAAGAAGAGACAAGATGATTTTGAAGATGAAGCCTGCAGTGGCAGGCCATCCATATCAACTTGCAAGAAAAAAATTCATCTTGTTCATGCCCTCATTGAAGAGCACCAGGGATTAACAACACAAACAATAGTAGACACCACAGATATCTCAGTTCATTCAGTTTACACAGTTCTGATTGAAAAATTAAAGTTGAACAAGCTTTCTACTGGATGGGTGCTATAAACTTTTGTGCTCAGATCAGCTGCAGACAAGAGCAGAGCTTTCCATGGAAATTTTAAACAAGTGTGATCAAGATCCTGGAGCATTTCTTTGAAAAATTGTAACAGGAAATGGAACATGGTTTTATGGATACAATGCTGAAGATAAAGCACATTCAAAACAATGGCTACAAAGAGGGAGAAGTGGTCCAGTCAAAGCAAAATCAGAACTGTCAAGAGCAGAGGTCATGGCAATAGTTTCTTTGTATGTAAGGCATTTTGCTTGTTGACTTTCTGGAGGACCAAAGAATGATAACATCTTCTTCTTATGAGTGTTTTGAGAAAGTTAGCCAAAGCTTTAGCACAACGCCTGGGAAAACTTCACCAGAGAGACCTTCTCTGCCACAACAACGCTCCTGCTCATACTTCTCAACAAACTAGGGCAATTTTGCAAAAGTTTCAATGGGAACTCATTAGGTATCCACCTTACGGTCCTGATTTGGCTTCTTTTGACTTCTTTTTGTTTTCTAATCTTAAGAAACCTTTAAAAGACACTCATTTTCATTTTATAAACAGTGTAAAAAGACTGTGTGGACATGGTTAACTTACCAGGACCCTCAGTCCTTTAGGGATGGCTAAATGGCTGTTATCATTACTTATAAAAATGTCATGAATCTGATGGTGATGGTATAGAGAAATAAAGTTTATATTTTTTATTTTTATCTTTTAATTCCGTTTTTCCAGAAAAATGGTTTTAGATTTGTTACCTGGGTTTATTATGTGATGCTGAGGTTTGAGGTCTGAATGATCCCATCACCCAGGTAGTGACCATAGTACACTGTGATTTTTTGCCCCTTTCCTCACTTTCCTCCTTTCTCCATCTAGTAGTTCCCAGTTTCTATTGTTGCCATTTTATGTCCATGAGTACCCAATGTTTAGCTCCCACTTATAAGTGAGAACATGCAGTATTTGGTTTTATGTTCCTCTGTTAATTCACTTGGGATAATGGCCTCCAGCTGCATCCATGATGCTACAAAGGACATGATTTCAATCTTTGCTATGGCCGTGTAGTATTTTATGGTATATATGTACTACATTTTATGTATCCCAGGGGTCCCCAGCCCCTGGTACCAGTCCATGGGCTGTTAGGAACTGGGCTGCACAGCATGAGGTGAGCAGTGGGCAGGTGAGCATTACCACCTGAGCTCTACCTCCTGTCAGATCAGCTGCAACATTAGATTCTCATATTAGTGCAGACCCTATTGTGAACTGCACATGAGAGGGACCTAGGTTGCATGTTCCTTATGAGAATCTAATGCCTGATGATCTGAGGTATAACAGTTTCACCCTGAAACCATTTCACCACCTCCCCTCCCCACCTCCATCTGTGGAAAAATTGTCTTCCACAAAACCAGTCCCTGGTGTCAAACAGGTTGGGGACCATTGCTTTATCTGATCCACTGTTGATGGGAACCTAGGTCGATTCCATGTCTTTGCTATTGTGAATAGGGCTGTGATGAACATATAAATGCATGTGTCCTTTTGGTAGAACAATTTATTTCCTTTTGGATATGTAGCCAGTGATTGGATTGCTGGTTTGAATGTTTTACATTTTAAGTTCTGTTCTAAGTTCTCTGACAAACCTCCAAACTGCTTTTCACAGTGGCTGAAGTAATTTACATTCCCACCAACAATGTATAAGCATTCCCTTTTCTCTACAGCCTCACCAGCATCTGTTGTTTTATGATTTTTTAATAATAGCCATTCTGAATGGTATAAGATAGTATCTTTTTGTAGTTTTGGTTAGCATTTCTCTGATAATTAATGATGTTGAGTGTTTTCTCATGTGTTTGTTGGCCACTTGTATGTCTTCTTTTGAGATGTGTCTGTTCATGTCCTTTTCCCACTTTTTAATGATGTTATTATTATTATTTTTTGCTTGTAGAATTGTTTAAGTTCCTTATAGGGTCTGGATATTAGATCTTTGTCAGATACATATTATGGGAATATTTTCTCCCATTCTACAGGTTGTCTGTTTACTCTGTTGATATTTTCTTTTGCTGTGTAGAAACCCTTTATTTAATTGGGTCCCTCCCACTTGTTAATTTTCATTTTTATTTCACTTCCTTTGAGGACTTGGTCAAATTCTTCCTCAAAGCTTGATGTCCAAAATTATATTTCTTAGGTTTTCCTCTAGGATTCTCATATTTAAATCTTTAGGTCTTACATTTAAATCTTTAATCCATCTTGAGTTAATTTTTATATATGGTGAAAGGTAGGGGTTCAGTTTCATTCTTCTGCATATGGCTAGCCCTTTATTCCAGCACCTTTTGTTGTATAGGGAGTCCTTTCCCCATTGCTTATTTTTGTTGCCTTTGTCGAAGATTAGATGGCTGTAGGTGTGCAGTATTATTTCTGGGTTATCGTATCTGTTCCATTAGTCTATGTGTCTGCTTTTGTACCAGTAACACGCCATATTGGTTATTGTAGCCTTATGGTATAGTTTGAAGTTGGGTAATGTGATACCTCTGACTTTGTTCTTTTTGCTTAAGATTCCACAAAATCTTTAAAGTCCCTTTTTATATCAGTGTGCCTGTACATATGTGGGTGGAAAAGGAAATGGAAATTATCCTTCTTCAAAAGTCTTTTCCTTTTAATGTGTTTCAGTTTCAGAGATGTGGATTGGGCTGTGGAAGATATCACAAAGAAATTCTTTGGGTGTAGGGCTGTGGGGGATGGTCAAAGCACTGTTTTAAACTTATCATATGTTTAGCCTAAACTCTGAGATCTAAGAAGGATTACACTCAGCCCAGAAATGATTAAATATTTATAATCCTGAATTTTCTACTCATTAGCTGTGAGATTTTGTACAAGACCCTTTGCCTCTGTGACCTCAGTTTCCTGTCTAATAAATTGTGTGTGTTGGGGCTGGAGATGATTGTAGAATTATTGACAGATCTTCTGACTGTAAGTGTATAAAAAGACTCATTCTGTTTTCCCTCGCATTCTTTGCTTAGTGAACTAGAATGTGCTAGTGACTTGGGGATCTATGATAGAAAGTTATTCTATTATGTAATCCAGCTTTTCCAAGAGTTCAGAGGGACCGGTCCCACTTGTCTTTGGATTATAGCAGTTTGTGGGCCTCATTTTAAGCCATATCTCATAAGACAGGATTGAATGCCTGGTGTATTTATTTCCAGTTAGAATTATGAAATGTGAGTATTAGTAGGGACTTTGTGAGTCAGTAAATACAGCCACTTATTTTATATATGAAGACAGCTGAGGCTCAGATAGGAAAAACAGAGAGCTGGAACTCACAACTGAAGACTGGCTTGTAGGTCCAGTATTGCTTCCACTACACTGAGTTGTTTAAAAAGATCTTAAAATAATATCTGATATAAGTAATATTAAAATTTGGAAAACATAATGAAGAATTAGTCTCTTTATCTTCCTTTTCTGATAGAAATATCATTTTTCTAATTATAAAAACAGTACATACTCATTGTAACAAAGTCCAAGCCATTCAGAAGTGCATAGGGAGAAAGTGAAGGATTCACTACAATCCTAGTCTTCCACAGAAAAATCACTGTTAATTTGATTCACCATTTTTATGCTTTTCTCTTTCTCAAACATACATACAAAGTTAAAAATTAGTTCATGTTATACATACTATTTGCATCCTACTTCTTTTTCTTAGCAATATTTAATGGACACATGGGCAACAGATGGACATCTTTTCTTGTTAGTACATCTAACTTACTCTGTTTATTGGCTGGATGATAGTTCAGTGTGTTACTGTAATATACTTAAGCAGTCGTCTCCTGATGGATGTTTATATTGTTTTGAGTCTTTATCTTAGGCATTGCTGCAGTAAACATCTTTCTGCATACATCGTTCCATATTTATCTGTTTCTTCATAAGAAGTTTTTGGAAACCACACTTCAAGTTAATCATAGTATTTAGGTACAAAGATGGCATAAATAGAACAATACAGTTAGCCAATTCCTGTAAAAGAAAAAAAGAATATTTCAGACTAAGGGTGATTTTAGGTACAAGTCCACAGAATGCACGAAGCTTTCTTTGGTCAAGCTTTGTAAGTTTATAATCATAGTTTTGCAGGATTAGCTCAGTGCACCAAATTCCAGCTCAGTGGATTCCACAAATCCTTTCTAGCTGCTCTCTAAATCATTGCTTCCCTTGGCTAAAGTTGACTGTAAATGGATCTAATGAGGTCAAAGACGCCTAGAGTTTAGTTTATTTCTTCCAGCTCACAATAGTTATTTTCTCTTCAGCTTTGGTCTGAGGTATGGGAGGTACTACCAATTATGTGTTAAGGAGTCAGGCAGAGGAAAAATATCACTTTCTTACTGATAAATTGTTGTTTGTGAGAAAATAAGCTGATGATGTCTCTGAACTGGCTTCTTGCCCAGGGGGATCATGAGAAAGGGAAGAGCCCCCCACATAGCTTGGATTTTCTATTCCCTTTAGTTGCTTGAACTTTGCATTCTTTGTGATCCCCTAAAATATAGCCATTCTTTCAGAAGGATTTCATAGCTTCCCCACCCTCCAAGCCCTATCTCAACTGATGTGGTCCTTATCTATGATAAGGGATTGTTGTTTCTTCTTCAGCATGAATCCTTCAGCATGAATCAGTGATCTGAGAGGGAGATTTCAGAAGTCACTTGGTAGGGTAACTTCTTCTTCTTCTTCTTTTTTTTTTTTTTTTTTTTTTTTTTGAGACAGAGTCTTGCTCTGTCACCCGGGCTGGAGTGTAATGGTGCAATCTTGGCTCACTGCAGCCTCTGCCTCCTGGGTTCAAGCGATTCTCCTGCCTCAGCCTCCTGAGTAGCTGGGACTACAGGCATGCACCACCACGCCCAGCTAATTTTTGTACTTTTAGTAGAGATGAGGTTTCACCATGTTGGCCAGGATGGTCTCAATCTCCTGACCTCATGATCCACTTGCCTTGGCCTCCCAAAGTGTTGGGATTACAGGCGTGAGCCACCCTGCCTGGAGGGTAACTTCTTATCTCTGGAATTTCTCTGTCAACATCTCTGTAAGGTCGTCTTCTTTGAGTGGCTCCTATTGGTCCTCAGAATAAAACTTACATTCCTGGTCTAGTGGTTAAAACTGTCTCCAAAGAAGATATAGACGACCTTTCAAATTGTATTTTCTAGCTCCCCAAAACATGCCCTGTACTCCAGTCAGCCTTCAACTTCTCCTCTCTATCTTGGCTGATACCATTTTCTCTATCTGTTAATGTCACTCATATAGCTTAAATGCCGTCACTCTCCCAATATCTTCCTTCCTAAACTACTCTGAACTCCTGTGGCATTTTAACTGCACTTTTTCTATGACACATAGTTTTATATTCTATATTGGAATTTTCTACGTATCTACCTTATTTCTCCTACTAGAACCTAAACTCTTTGAAAGCAAGATTGATGTGACTGGAACTATTCTTTGTATTCCTCCAATATCCAGGACATTGCCTAATACTCAATAAGTATTTATTATGGAGTTGAATGGATAAATGAACCCAGTCTTCAGTTGAATTACGCTGTGCCAGGAATGCTAGATGAGGAAAGCCATTCTGTTGTGGAGACAGCTTTAATTATCAGGCCATCTGAATCTCATGAACAGAAAATAGTGCTATATCCAGGGTGTCTAGAGCCACTTACTTCTCACCTTGTTCCTAATTTATCACCTGAAAAACTGATCCTGTCAGATGAATGGGAGAAAAGTGGGAAGTCCGACCCTCCATAGACAATCAAAACATCTGCCCAGCTCATACTCAGATGAGTTTCCTGATAGGTTAACATACACTAGTTCTCCGCTTTTATAATTTTGTGCTAAAAAACAGTCCCATATTCCATGGCCCTTATGTTATCTATTTTTAAATGTACTATAACAAACCCAATAGTATCTCCCTTAACATCCTTCTTTATAATCTTTACTTTGAGGGCAATTTAGCTAAATTTATAACAGGTTTAACATATGTAACATGTGTAAAAGGTGTCTCACAGGAGGAGACTCTATGTCAGCTTGGTCGGGGACACTGTGTGAGGCTGTGTGGTGTATGACATCTAAGGCAGGAATGCACCATGATGTGACCCTGGGAATGCTGCCCTCTGGAGCTCTGCACTGTACAGTTGGATGGCTGCAACAATTTAATGTTCATGGACATGCACTTCCAGTTTGAAACTCTGAATTTCTCCTGTATTAGTTTGTTGGGACTGGCATAACAAAGCACCACTGATTGCATCACAGTCTTGGAGGCTGAATGTCCAAGATCAAGGTGTTGTTGGTAGGCTTGGTTCCTTCTGAGGATTGTGAGGGAATGATCTGTTCTAGGCCTTTCTCCTTGGCTCATAGGTGTCTGTCTTTTCTCTGATTCCTCTGTGTCTCTTTCTTGGTATTCATATTCCTCTTTGTATAAGGACACCAGTCATATGGGATTAGAGCTCACACCAAATGACCCTCTTTTAACTGTTACTTCTATAAAGACCCTATCTCCAAATATGGTCACATTCTGGGGTACTAAGTGGTTAGGGCTATAAAATATGTTTTTCAGGGAGGATGGAGGAAACACAAGTCAACCCCTAAGAGCCCCTAACAGATGAAAAAAAAAAAAAACAAAAAACAACTAGACCTCTTCATGGGAAAGAGCATAGGGTTCAGAATCAGAGAGAGCTCCATTTGAATCCCCAGCTCTGCCAGTTCTACTTGTACTCAGAGCAGAAAGGAACATGTGGGCCTGCATGCCAAGCCACCTTACATAGTATCGTGGGCTAGACTGAAATTAAGAACGGAGCTATAGACAAGAAGGATAATATGGTTTTAATCAGGACACTGAGCCAGAATTTTTTATTATGGACTAGGCTGGGCATTACTCCAAACTCTCCTGATAATGGGACTATGACAGCAATGCTAATTTTCTGCACAATATATTGCAGGAAGTGTGTGTGTGTGTGTGTATGTGTGTATGTGTGTGTGTTAAGGGGACCTGGCATTGCCTAGATCAGTAAAAAAACTGGTCAGGATGGAACATCTAAATGAAGATCTTTCCCATCTTTGAAGGGTTGGGGAAGATAGGGAACTGCACATTATGAACTCTTTTGCAACAATCCTCTGAGACACAAAGACAACCCCCAGATGCTGCCTCTGCTACAAAAAATTATGCTGCCCTGCTTCGTCTCCCAGGCATCCTGCTCCCAGTAGTGTCTACATAGGTGGAGCTTTGCACCTTGAGGATATCCCATGCTGACTTTTGTGCAGACATGGCCAAGGCCTTTACCACAGGACCTCAAAATGCCTAGAAATATAAATATAGATAATACACACAGACACAGAAACACACACACACACACACACACACACACACAGAGACATATATGTATATATTTACATGTTTACTCCAGAGTCCAGAGCCTCATGTGATCTGAGAAAAAGAACTATCAGAAGTTGTAAATATATATAACTATACATAAAAATGTAGACATTTGAACCTTCTTTTTCTATTTCATCAACTTCCAAAAAGTTATCAAGAAGTATTATTCATCACTTCATAAATATTATCAATGAGGTATTGTGGGGACCAGGAAAAACAGCCAGAATGTGTACAACCAGAATGTATCTCAGCCCTAGAGGCAAACTTACAGAAGTATGCAGTAGCAGATATATGATTTTCTCATTGTTCATCACATTCTAGGGTAGCACACAGCAATTCGGCACAGCTGCAAGTCAGATTCTGGGAGAGACCCCCATCCTTGGGCTTTGGGGCTTTCAAGTTGAATTTTTAGGGAAGCATCAGCTCCTCCTTGCTATATTCAGAGATCAGCCAGCATACAACAGCAATATGAGTTGGCTCTAGCTCCATGCTGCTAACTCAGCGTTTATGTTTGGGGTAGCACCAGCCTCTCTGCTGGAGTAATTAGCAGGCTGGAGTCCAACTCTTGTGGTTGCAGCTGTGTAGTCTAGCAAGCTATCGGCTGGATTTGCCACATCAGCATTCACTGCTAGAGAAACTGGCATAACTGGGGGACTGGGATCCAAGACTTGCCATCATTGACCAGGATTAATGTCCTTAAGATTTAGGCCATTGCCAGTTTTCATTGGCACTTTGCAGAAAACCCACTTGTTTCTTGGGAGGCCTGCTTCAAGGGACAAGTCTTAAATACTAACCCTTACCTCTTAAGGGAAATAGATAAGTGTAGAGCACAAAAATAGATAGGTGCAGTCCCAGTTATTCAGGAGGCTGAGGAAGGAGGACTGATTGATCCCAGGATTTCAAGGCTGTGGTGTGCTATGATTGCATTTGTGAATAGTCACTGCACTCCAGCTTGGGAAACATAGCAAAATCCGTCTCTTAAAAAAAAAAAAAAGTAGGCAGCAAGGGAGTTGGTCTTTAAGTAAAGATTCAACATATTTGCCCTCCTGTCTGATCCTCCAGTCTTACCTCCCACAGAGTCAATATTTGAATACAGATGTTTTTATTCCAAATTCACTGATTTTTGCAACATCTTTTAGCTCCTCACCTGTTTTTCTTTGGAATGGTTGTAGAGCCTGTGGGAGGTGGGCATAGTATGGATTAATCTTTTTTTGGCTATAGCAGCTATGTCCAAATAATCCCCCAGATAAAAATAAGATTTACTTCAGGGTCCAGAAGTTCCTTTTCTTCTCTGTTGGTTGTGGAGAAATCTTAAAGACATATCAGCACTGTATTCATTTTTCTGCACAGTAAGACTTCAATTAATCACTTATTTCAGTTCTTTCTTTTGGGAGAATCAATCTTTTAAGTAAATTGTGAATTAAAAATTATACATGTTTCAGGCCACACATCTTGTGGATTTCCAGTTTTGTTGCTCTTATTGATTGGTATTTTGCTTTCTTCTAGTCCTGGATAGCCACACACTATTCAACAAAACCATGTTGCTGCAAGTGAAAATAACTACATTTGTCAGCTCGGAGAGTTACAAAATGGAGTCCAAATTAAACTGCACATTAGATGCCATTCTTGAAATTGAAATGTTTATATGACTAATAAATATGTGAATTGTACAAGATGTCCAAAGCCATGCTCTTGGTTGAAACACACCATTTTTGATCCATATGGAGTGGAAGACTCCTCCGCAAGTCTGGTGATTGCACTGCAGCCAGTTTCCACTATTTTTGCCCAGGACACAGACTTATGGGTAAAACTACCTTGGCAACATAGTTTAAGAAAAGCTAGTCTTTAATTCACACTATTCCCTTGTTTTGAACTTCTTTTCCTATGATCTTTGCCTATTAAATCTCTACTACTCAAAAATTAGTAACTAGTAGCTAGTAAGCACTTATTATGGGCCAAGCATGGTACTAAGAGACCTACATACACACGCTCATTCATTTTTTGGTTTGTTTTTGTATGGCTTGTGCTGCTCTAGGCAGGCCGTGAATGAGAAAGAAGTAATCTCATTGGTCCGATTTCTCTAGTACTTACATTCTAATAGGGGAGATAACAAAATAAGATAATTTCAGAGAGTAGTAAGTGTCATGGAGAATGTAAAATAGGGTAATGGGAGTGGAAGGGGCAATTTTAAAGCAGGTAACCCCAGAAGGCCCTTCTGAAGCTATGGGAAGGAGCCAGCTCTGTGAAGATCCATCAGCAGACCTACAGGAGAAGAGATTTTTCAAAACCCAAAACCTGAGGCAGGAATGAGCATAACAATGTCTTGAAGTTGGTAGGTCCATTTGTGTGACCTGGCCAAGATGCATAGCTCGTCTGAACCCCAGTTTCATATCTTGCAAAGGCAGATTCATTAGCTCATTCATAAAATTTCTGTTGAGCACTTACTATATGTCAGGCACTGTTTAGACTCCTCTGGGGATATATAAAAATAAACAATCACTGCCCAGTATCCTGAGAGAGAGTAAATGTTTACATTCTAGTGGAAGAATGGGGAGACAAACAATAAACAAATACAAATAAAGAAAGATTGGTAATGACAAGTGCCTTGAAGAAAAATAAACCAGAGTAAGGAGATGAGAGTGGAGCTGAGAGGTAGGTTATTAGGGGAATCAAGGAGAGCCTTTCTGTGGAAGCAATGTTTGAGTAGAAGGAAGAGAGAGAGAGAAGCAGGCCATATGGACATCTGGAGGCAGTGGGGGGACATTTGAGCTGGAAAGAACAGCAAGTGCCCTGAGGTTGAAGGGAGACTAATATGTTCAAGGCATAGGAGAGGGGTCAGTGTGGTAGGATGTATGTCACAGGGGAAGGCAGGAACCATATCATGCAAGACTAGGTCATTCTAAGGGTGATGAAGGTTAGGAGGAGGAATATGATGGGAGTAATGATATCGACAACTAGGTATTGGGAGAATTGAGATAAGGTAATATATAGCTAACACAGTGCCTGACAGACAAAGCCTGCCTGCCTCCCTCCCTCCCTCCCTTCCCTTCCCTCACCTCCCTTCCTCGCTCCTTCCTTCCTTCCTTCCTCCCTCCCTCCCTTCCTCACTATCTCCCTCAATTCCTCCCTTCCTCGATCCCTCCCTCCCTCCCTCCCTCCTTCTCTCCCTCCTACCCCAGCTTTTCCTCAGTGTCTCCCTCCCTGTTCATTTCGTTCCCCCTTCTTTGTACATGTGCACTGCTCAAATATATCTCTGAATAAGATGTCTAACTTGCTGTTGTCTGTTTACTTACCACTTTCATGCTAAACTATAAGTTCTTAGAGGACAGGAAAGTTGTCTTTTATATCTGTGTAGTAGCCATATTTCCCCCAGTACCTTGCAAAATTTGTTGAATTTGCTTTCCAAAATTCTCTCCATGGGGAATGGAAATGATTCCTGGGAGTTAAGATGTATGAATGGATTAGCACGACCTCCTTGTTTGGACTGGAGAGCCCCGAGTTGGTCATGGCAACTACACTGGGAAAGCTGCAGTAATACGGTTGTTCACATAAGAGCTCTCTAGTTTGCTATTAGTTTGGAGCCTGGTGCTAAATCTAGTGGGATTTGGGCAAGTCCCTTAATTTTTCTGAAGTTCAATTTTCTCATGTGTACAACTGAAATAATAATCTAAAGGATTATTGGGGGATTGAATGAAATAATATACACCAAGCTGTAAGCATGGTGGACAGCTCTGAGTGACTGGTAAATACTATCTAGTATTGAAGGTGTTGTCCCAGTTTCCTTCTCCTCCCCCATAATCATCAAACCAACTTTGGAAGCTGTGAAAAAGCACGGGGAGCCTTTCCCCTACTGAAGTGGTAAATTCTACTCTCTTAGTTATAATTATACTATGATCCTGGTGCTGGGAAGAAAGTTGAGTCACTTAACACCAACTCCTCCTGTTGGACTTTGCCTACCCATCTGTGCCTGATTTACTGTAGTTGTTTGAGATCAAAGAACTTGTTTTATTTTTCTGTATGATAAAGAGGATAACTTACCTAAGGTCACACATAAAAGTGGCAGAGGAGGCTTTGCGTAAAGATGTGGCTCATTCTGAAGTTCATGGGAACAGAAGAAAACATGCTCTCCTAAGAGGCAAGAAACAAAATGTAGGCACTCTACTACTTATCTTGTCACCTTGGGAAAAATCATTTATCCTCCTTCAGGGAAAAGACTATCTTTCTGATTCCCAGGCCAGTGCCCCTTCTGTTGACCTTCTTGGGTTTCATTTTTCACATGTATGAATTGAAGATGTTGGCATAGCTTGACTCTGCCCTGCATTTTCATACCTACATGGTGATATACATGCCCCAGGCCCTTTTTAGTGACCTGGTTCTGTAAAGTCACCTTTCTGCTGAGAGATCCATGTGATTATTCCTAGGCACCGATTGCCACCAGTACTTGCTAGAGTCATTCAATATTGCAAAGCAGTAAATAGAACCACTTTGTGTGTATAGTTCAGCAGAGGAAATAACCTTACATTTCAGAATTCTTTGCTTTTGTTCTCCCAGTCCTTCTCTAAACACCCTTCCCCCAGCCTTACTTTTTTGCTTTCATCAGGTACCTTCTGCTTTTATTCCCATCTGTTCTTCCTTTTCCTCATTTTCTCTCCAATGGGGACCTGGAAGATAAGAAAACATACATCTGAAATACAAGATTTGTTGCCTGGGAGAGATCAGAGGATTGTTTATTTCTTTTCTTTTCTTTTCTTTCTTTTTTTTTTTTTTTCCTTAACAGCATGATCAAATCTTGGTTCTTTGCTGAAAACTTTTCCAGATGGGGTAGTTTCTTTGCTAATTAAAAGGTTGGATAATGAGCATTTAGTGTTCTGGTGATTAAGACCTCCTCAGCCTCACAGGTCAGTGCCACCTGAATTAATTGGCACCTTCTCAGTTGGGGTTCAGTTCTCACATCTTATCCTACCAAGAATGGCATTCAGAGCTTTCTGTAATCCGCCCTCATGCAGTTTTCCCAGCCCTTCCTCCCTTTGCTACATCACTCTCTGTTGATGTAGTGATTTACCCTCTGTCACTCTCTTGCTATGTGATTTGCTTTCTTGCCACTATATTCCCTTTTTCTCTCTGCCTGAAATAGTTTAGTTATGATTATAGACTCAGGAGACAGTATGCATTGGAATAATTGGAACTAGTCCTGTCACACTAGTTGTTTAGCACCTCAGCTTTCTTTTTCTTTTTCTTTTCTTTTGTTCCTTTTTTTTTTTTTTTTGAGACAAAGTTTCTCTCTTATTGCCCAGGCTGGAGTGCAATGGCGTGATCTTGGCTCACTGTAATCCTTGCCTCCTGGGTTCAAGCAATTTTCCTGCCTCATCCTATCAAGTAGCTGGGATTACAGGCATGCACCACCATGCTGGGCTGATTTTGTATTTTTAGTAGAGATGGGGTTTCTTCATGTTGGTCAGGCTGGTCTCGAACTTGCGACCTCAGGTGATCCACCCATCTCGGTCCCCCAAAATGCTGGGATTACAGGCGTGAGCCACCACGCCTGGTCTAACCTCATTGATCTAACCTATAAAAAAGAGAATGATAATAACTTACCTCATTGGATAGTTATGAAGATAAAATAAGATAGAGTATAAAGGGTTTGGCAGAGCACCTGTCCTATGGTAAATGCTCACTAACTGTTAGCTACTGTAATTTTCTATTTATATCTATTCAAATCTCACTGCTTCTGCAAGTCTCCTAAAAATATATTTTGCCAAAATTTCTTTTGCCATTGAAAGTAATGGCAAAAGCCATAATTTTGCACAAACTAAGAAGCCTTCTTTGCTCATCTTCCAGCCCAAGATGATCTCTTCTTCCTAGTATTCTTATTTCGTGACTTTTATAGAAACACTTGGTTGGTCTGGATTTATGATCAAAGTTCCTGACTACAGGTGAAATACTCTTGGAGGAAGAGACCCGAGCTTCTAGCGCAATGCTGAGGTACATCTCCATAGAATAGAATTGTTATTTTATGTCCCCAGTTAAAGGAATTTTATTTTTGTTGATGTTGTCTTGGGCTCTTGAGTGTTCTACTGATTTATTGAATGGTCCACTGATTTCTCATTATGTGAAAACTCTGGAGTCCTAGGTGTGTTTCTTCCAAGAACCTAATTAATTCAGGCTGCTAAGGCTGCCACATGGACTATGGTTTAAGGACTAGGCTATTTGGTGAGCAATTCTAAGTCCTGCTTTGGAATACTAAGGTCATATACCTTTGGAATGCCAAATTACAAGATGCTTTGAAGGAACTTTTAGGGTAAATCACAATCTCATCCATGTGCATCTGCAGTTAAGGTTTATAAAGAGAAGTTTGGTTCCTGATTTTCAGTAGCAGTATCATTAGTTTTTTAAAAACCACTGAAATTTTACATATATTTTGCCTCATAAATACCTACAATTAGGTCAGCATTCAGAAAAGTGGGCTTCTGTTTGCATAGAATTACATTAATTCTGCATTCTCTCATAGCAAAGTTGAAAGAGAGGATTAATCACTTATTCATGCAAAACCAATTCGCATGAATCATTTATTTATCTTGTTCTGGTAATTTTGCAGAGCTCATTTTTACATGCCTCAGGTTGCAGATAAAGTGAAAACTCAGAGGGTGATTTACCCTCCACAATAAAGACCTGATGGCCATGTAAACAGTATGCTTCCTATAGGAAATCAATAGGTAACCATGGAAATGACTCCACAATGGGAAATTCTATTTCTTTATGAACAAATCATCAAAAAGATCAATTGTAAGAGGAAAAGGCTTTGCCTGTGACCTTACCTTTCACAAAGCCTTTTGGTCTGTGTAAAGAAGAAAACATGTGCCTTGGTGACAGTAAAGAATTATCTTGAAGCTGTATTGAGAATGAACACACTTTTTACTTTATAAAGTTTGGGCTGAAATGTCTTGTCCTCCATTCCTGGAGGTCTAGCTAAGAAACTTATCTCTAATGGCAAGAAGAGTGTTCCAGAATACAGGATGCTTGAATTCTTGATCTGGCCTAATTCATTCATTCCTTCCTTCCTTCCTTCCTTCTTCCTTCCTTCTTTCCTTCCTTCCTCTCCTTCCCTCCCTCCCTCCCTCTCTCTCTTTCTTTTTTTTTTTTTAAAAAAAAAACAAGGGTAATAACATCCAACGCCAAAGGAGTCTTTGATAATTAAATGAGGTAATAATTAGTAAAGAATATAGTACAGTGCCCAGCACACAGCAAGTAGAAAATGCTATTAACAGCCACTTTTACAGTAATGACAATTGCCCAAACAATATTAATCCCACTAGTAAAGGGTTTTCACATTACAGGTATTTTTAAAAAACTTTCATCTTAGGTTCAGGGTACATGTGAAGGTTTGTTACATAGGTAAACTCATGTCATGGGGGTTTATTGTACAGATTATTTCGTCACCCAGGAATTAAGCCCAGTACCCAATAATTATTTTTTCTGCTCCTCTCCCTCCTCCCACCTTTCCCACTCAACTAGACCCCAGTGTCTGATGTTTCCTTCTTTGTGTTCATAAGTTCTTATCATTTAGCTCCCACTTATAAGTGAGAACATGAAGTATTTGGTTTTTTGTTCCTGTATTCATCTGCTGAGGATAATAGCCTCTAGCTCCATCCATGTTCCTGCAAAAGACAAGATTTCATTCTTTTTTATGGCTGTATAGTATTGTATGGTGTATATGTACCACAGTTGCTTTATCCAATATGTCACTGATGGGCATTCAGATTGATTCCATGTCTTTGCTATTGTGAACAGTGCTGTAATGAACATTTGTGTGCATGTATCTATATGGTAGAGTTGCTTTATATCCCTCTGGGTATATACCCAATAATAGGATTGACCCAGCCTAATTTCCAGCAGCAATGAGATCTTTAACAAGCAATTTCATCTCAGTGGGCCTTGATTTCCTCATCTGTAAAGTGATCAGACGAGCCTAGGGATGGCAGTCTGATTTAGCCCAGATACAGATGGATGTGGCACATATAGCATTATCTCACTTTCTCTTACTTGGAAGACATTACTAATCAATAGTAATCTTCTTTGTCACTGAGCTTGGATAGAGTCTCCAAATCCTTATTTATACATTTCTCCAGGCAGCTGCTGCCTATGGATCAGAGTTGTCATGTGTAAGACATCCGTTTACCTCTATGTGACCCTTAAGGTTTATTCAGCCCTGACATTACAAGAATCTGAAAACTAGCTTTAAGTACTGAATATTCATGTCTATTCAGCTAGTCTTAAGCACACAATCCAAGTAACAAGGATAGCACCAACAATAAACAATTATGATATTGTCTTTGGTAAGCCAAATAAACTGATCTCATTAATGTCAAAATATTTATTTCAATGCTAAAGTTACTATTGAACCACTAATTGATAATAATGAAATAATGTTTGTAGCACTCTGCTGCTGTTCACTTACCAGCTTAGTGACACAACTTAAGTAGCAAATCTGATTGCAGTTTTCATGCTTGCTCTTTTTTCAACAGTAGAGGGCAGCACAGCTATTTTTAAGTGTCTTCTTTGGGAACCATTTGTGTGTGCACACAGGCATTGTATACAATGGGTGCAAAGATGTGACCTGTGGTGGGTTGTAATAGAAGAGTGTATTCAGGTGACAAAATAGCCTGCTTAATTAGATCTCTTGGATTGTGGTGTGGAATTTTCCTCTTTAGGCTTTCAGAAATTACCATTACCCTGTTAGTATTTACATGTTTCAGCATCTCATATTGATTCTTTTTATTTTGTTCTTTCTGTTGTTTTTTTCCTCCTGTTGTTACTTGTCTCACTTTAGAGGCAGTGTTATGTAAGCGAAAATATCACAGCTTTTGGCTTCTGAAGGTGTAGACTCCAATCCCAGCTCTCCTGCTAGCTCTGTGACTGAGCTGATCAGAATCTCAGAGCCTCAAGATTCTCCTTTTTAAAACAGATATAGAAATACACAATTGAGAGTTTTTAGCATGAAGTGGTGTTGAATTTTATTGAAGGTCTTTTTTACCTCTATTGAGATAATCGTGGTTTTTGTCATTGGCTCTGTTTATGTGATGGATTATATTTATTGATTTGCGTATGTTGAACCAGTCTTGCATCCCAGGGATGAAGCTGACTTGATTGTGGTGGATAAGCTTTTCGATGTGCTGCTGGATTCGGTTTGCCCATATTTTATTGAGGATTTTTGCATCAATGTTCATCAGGGATATTGGCCTAAAATTCTCCTTTTTTGATGTGTCTCTGCCAGGTTTTGGTATCAGGATGATGCTGACCTCATAAAATGAGTTAAGGAGGAGTCCCTTTTTTTCTATTATTTGGAATAGTTTCAGAAGGAATGGTACCAGCTCCTCTTTGTACTTCTAACAGAATTCAGCTGTCAATCTGTCTGGTCCTGGGCTTTTTTTGGTTGGTAGACTATTAATTACTGCCTCAATTTCAGAACTTGTTATTGTTCTATTCAGGGATTTGACTTCTTCCTGGTTTAGTATTGGGAGGGTGTATGTGTCCAGGAATTTATCCATTTCTTCTAGATTTTCTAGTTTATTTGTGTAGAGGTATTAATAGTATTCTCTGATGGTAGTTTGCATTTCTGTGGGATCAGTGGTGATATCCCCTTTATCATTTTTTATCATGTCTATTCAATTCTTCTCTCTTTCTTCTTTATTAGTCTGGCTAGCCGTCTATTTTGTTAATCTTTTCAAAAAATCAGCTCCTGGATTCATTGATTTTTTGAAGGTTTTTGATTTTGTGTCTCTATCTCCTTCAGTTCTACTCTGATGTTAGTTATTTCTTGTCTTCTGCTAGTTGTTGAATTTGTTTGCTCTTGCTTCTGCAGTTCTTTTAATTGTAATGTTAGGGTGTCAATTTTAGATCTTTCCTGCTTTCTCCTGTGGGCATTTAGTGGTATAAATTTCCCTTTAAACACTGCTTTAGCTGTGTCCCAGAGATTCTGGTACGTTGTATCTTTGTTCTCATTGGTTTCAAAGAACTTATTTATTTCTGCTTTAATTTCGTTATTTATCCAGTAGTCATTCAGGAGCAGATTGTTCAGTTTCCATATAGTTGTGTGGTTTTGAGTGAGTTTCTTAATCCTGAGTTCTAATTTGATTGCACTGTGGTCTGAGAGACTGTTATGATTTCCTTTCTTTTGCATTTGCTGAGGAGTGTTTTACTTCCAATGATGAGGTCAATTTTAGAATATAAGTGCAAAATGGTGCTGAGAAGAACGTATATTCTGTTGATT